GATGTTGCTTGTTTTTCCTGATAAAAAGAAAAGACTGTTGCCTGACTTTGGTTTGGGAATTTTCTTTCATTTATTTTATTCTAGTGTTAGTGTAAAAGGGCATGTTTTAGTCTATGTGAAAATCTGGTTTTCACCCATTTCAGCATTCCTCACTTTGGTAGTGGAGTTATGTAATACAAAAGATTTAATTGCAGTTTTCAATATAGCACTCTGATAGAGTTTTCATGACTAGTATTCTTGCCCTCTATTATATGTATTTCAGTCTATGGATGCCAATTATCAGAAAACAAACAAGGGCTAGCGATGCATCTTTCTTTGAGGTGGAACCTGATATTGTCTCTTTTATTCACGTGAGGACACTATGCTGTGTGTCTTTTTTTGTTTTCAGATGCATGCAGCTGTGTTGCTCTACAACTATTACCACCGATGCGAATTTCCACAGCTTGAATTTCTCGGGTTTGAAAATTTTTGCAAGGTTGCAGTAAATGCTAAGCCAAATTTGTTAACTTACATGAAGTTCATGAAGGAATTCTCCACAAAATCAACTGAGAAATACCAAGAGCTTTCTCTCACAGAAAAAATGGTTAAGGAGGCATGCGATATCGCTGAAGGACTCAATGCATCAAAACCAGTTCCAAACATACAAAGTTGGCCTGTCACAAAAGTTGCAGTTTTCTTAATTGACTCTATGAGAAAGAACTGTTTATTGATGTTTGGTTCTATAACACTGGGTGTCTGGTCACTTATAGAAGAGAAGATCGAATCAAAGGATACAAAGATGAAAGCACCTACAAGAGTAGTCCATATGGAAACTAGTGGAATGCCAATATTCAACTCAACTGAAGGTGACCTTTTGAAAATTGCATTCACAGCTGTCAAAAAACAAACAGGTATTATCTTTGTCATGAACATTGTTCCTTCTTATTTGTTACTTTTATAATGTACACAAGGTAAAATGCTAATCATAAGCTAATATGGTGCATGTTTATGTTTTATTATAGCATCAATTGTTATAGTTCTTATTTGTCTATTTGTATATATCTTTCTACTCGTCCATCTATGTCTAGGTGAGGGCCCTCCCTATCAGTCCATCTATGACTAGGTGAGATCCCTCCCACTGATTAGTGTGCGAGTTCTTTCCATCACCGATAGATCTCCCACATATTTGGATGCAAATAATTACATACACTGGGAAATTTGGTGTCTAACAGTGTTGGAAGGTTTAATATGTCTCATAGGTATGAGCATAAATAGGTATGAGTATAAGTACATTGTTATATCATTACAAAAACAGATATTATTACTTTCATAATATACGTATCATATATACAATTTTAATTGATTTTATGTTATTGAAGTTGTATAAATAAGTTAATTTGATGGTGGCTTTTGTTGATGATTGGCAAATTACAGCGGGCCAAATGTCAGATGATTAAAATAATTTTCTGTGATTTGGCTTCTATGTCATAGTCCAGCTGCCATTCGTTAAGAGCATTTCCATGACCACTGCTCTGATTTTGTAAAGACTGATTGAGGTGTTGCTTGTTTGTTATGACCAGGCATTGATCAGGCTGATTTGAATGTGTTGGAAAGAAGTTTTTCATACTCCCTAAGCAAAAAAAGGGAAGCTGTCCAACTTTATGTGATGCAATCTGTTAAGAGAATTGATGGTGAAATCCGCCAAGTTCCCATAAAAGATGTCGTGAATAGGTATGACATGCTAATGGCTGTTCTCTCTCTTTCTCGCCACCCCTGCCCTTTCTCAAGGTTTGGCAATCCATGGTTTGATGTTTATTGCAAAAACTTTGTTAAAATTTATGACTTTTGAAAATTCTCTTTACCAAATACCAAATTACCGTCCATGTAGTATGGCAGGTTTAATTATTGATTGACAACATTAAGGTTAGATTGATATTTTCTAAGGGTGTATTTGGCAATCATAACTAATTAGGGACATTTTAATTCTTTTCACCTAGGGCAGCCTTTGATGCTTCCCTTATTACTATGTAACTTGGTTGGGATGCTGAACTTACTATAGATTTCTCTTGTTTGCGTTATTCTCCTTTTCATTTGTCTACATTCTAAACTTGGAAACAATGATGTGTTTTCTCTTGGTATGATGTTATGACCCGATGTTCACTATTGTCTGATACTTTTTCTTTCCTATGCAGCCTGGACGGTCCAATATTCAGGAAGGAGTTCCTCAATTATGAAACAACTTCGGTAGTTGAGTATTTCCATTTACTACCATATAAGGCTTTCATCTCGGAATGGTTCTCTAGGTAACAGTTGACTGTGACTCTAAACCTCTTTAGGAAACATGTTATGACCCCCTCAATTTGTCAGAATTTTTAATGTGTGCTCAAGGATATATGGTGATATATTATTGTACGTCAATAAGACAGGCCTTGTACACTATTTAGAAGGTCCTATAACCTAGCTTATCAATAGACTGTTTCTTTCTCTTTGATAAAATGTTCTTTTCTCTGCTCTAGTATTGCATATTCTTGCATAAAGTTTTACCTTTTTTTATTTATTCTTGCAGAAAATTTTGCGAAGTATGTTTTCCTATTATTTCTATTATAATGTAAAGAACCTCTCACTGATATTTCTTATTTCTTTATTTGTTAATTGCATGTCTTTTTTTTTCTATTTTATTTTCTGCTTCTTACTTCTTTGTATCTCCATTGTATGTCTAATTTGAGAATAATTGTAACTATGGGGGCATTAGCCACTTTCTCCTTTTGGGATGTATTTGTGATTTTTGTTGAGCTATGAAACTTCTATTTTCTCAGCTCACTCATATGTGTATATTCGTTGATTAGGTTTTTATTAAAGCTAGAATAATTATTAGCTTGTTTTCCATTAAACTCACATGGTACTGGAGTAGTTCATTGCATTGTGATTATTGTTGTTTAAATTTTATCCTTTGGTTAACTAGAAGCTTGTGTAATAGAAATCTAAAAGTTGTAAATAATTTATATTACTATTTTCTTGGGAATAAGAGGATGTTCAACCTTGAAATTTCATGTGCAAATCTGTGACTTCATCATCATCATCATCCGAGCCTTATCCCAACAATTTGGGGACAGCTATATAAATTTAGTTCTGCCAATAGGTTCAAGATTCATAAAAATATGTAGCAAACGTTTATGCTGGCTGCCTACATAACACAACCCTCCTCCTTTACCCCGGCTTGGGACTGGCATGGGGCTGGCATGTGCAAATATGTGAATTATTTAAAAATTTTTGTTTGGCTTTCAGATTGTTTTTTTAAACTTCTATGTCGAGTCATGCTTTTTATTTTTATTAATTTAATAAACCTTGTATCGTGCATAACCTTAGTCATTTCCTCTTAGCCTATTAGCATCCACATACATTAGAACTGTGGTAACTTGTGGTTTATGTTTGGCAGCAAACACAAAATAATTAGCATTGCTAAATATATCAAACTAGATAGTGGTTATTGTCGATAACTATTCTGAGCCAGTACTTGGTATTGTCTGGAGAGAATGGAAGGTGTCATATAAATGTCTTCTTCAAGGTCTCCTCATTGGAAAACATTTTGACATATGGTCACCACAATAACCACATCTTATTGGAGGATGAAGTCATGATTTTCTTGTAGTATGGGCTAGAAGTTCGAGTAAATCCTTGGGCAACTGATTTTTCATTGGTCCTCTCAATTCTATGACCTAACCAACCGCATACTCATAGAGATATGGGCTTGATATTTGTAGTAATTGCTCATTTATTTGAGAGAAAATGAAAACACTTTTTCCCTTGCAAACACACTTTAGATGCAACGCAAGCTACTAATTTGTTTTTGGAGGAAATTGTTCAGTTGCTTGAAGTATATTATGTTGTAACATGTTTCTATTTAGTGATATTTTAATCAAATGGAAGATATGTGTACTATGAGATACTATGATGTGAAACAAAGTTTGCTATAGTGAGATCTATGTTATAAAGACTCGGACATGTATATTATCGCTTGACCTGGATATCATTGTAAAAAATGCCAACCTCAAATTATCTTCCAAGCACAACACGTTGATGTAACCAAAGATCAGCCACTCGTTAATCTTTCACTTACAAGACCTAAAAACACGTTTGAGAAAACTTTAAATTAAACAAAGGCTGATTATCTACTAGTTTAGGAGGTATTCGTTCACAAACCTGAAGAAGTAAACTTAAAAATCAACATGCAATTTTAGAAATTTATTTTAGTGTTTGGGAGATGAGTTTCTAATCCATAATAGATTGAAATCTATCTTTAAACGAAATCAACCAAATAATTGATTGCAATCAAATTTAAAACTAGTCAACAGCCCAGAGGGAATAAGTGGTGTAGAATAATTTTAAATTCATTCCATTGGCTTTTGGAAGGTGAAGGGACATATAAAAATTAGGATTTTGATTTTAAATGTGAAATTAGGGAAAGAAAGAGGAAAGAAGGGAAATAAATGAAAGAAAAGAGGAAAGAAGAGAAAGAAAACAGGAAAGAAAAGAAAGAAAAAGAGTAGAAGGGAACCAAGAAAGAAAAGAAAAGGCCTAAGATGGGAAAGAAGAGAAGAAGAAATTAAAGGGAGGGACCTTGGGAGATCCTACCACGCCTTCTCTATGGCCTTTAATCTAAGTGTTTTAGATACCTTTTCTAGGATTTTTTCTTTCAAAGTTCTTAAAAAAAACATTCTAAGGGCTAGACGACCCCTCTCTCTCCTTATATATAATTATTAGAAAAATGACGTAAAAAATGCTTAACTAAAATAACATATTAAATAACCAAACTGCCCCTTAAATTCTCTAAAACTCGCAAAAGGCATTCGCCCGTCATAACTAAAATAATCATCATAATTATCAAAACCTCCCAACTAATTGGAGTCTGCTACACTAATCCTGGTCTGCCATTTTGCTTTTTTAAGGGCTATACCGTTAGTGAGGCCATAAGTCCACACATCTTTTCTCATTACTTCCAACTATGTCCTTTTAGGCCTACCCTTTGCCCTTTTTTAGCTTTCCACTTGAACTAACTCGCACCTCTTAATAGCTGCTGTACCGGGTCTGCGCTGCACATGGCGCCACATAAGTCTACTTTCTCGCGTCTTATTGCCTATTGGTGCCATACTTAAATTTTCTCGAATGTATTCATTTCTAATTCTATTCTTTCTTGTCTTGCCACTCATCCATCTGAACATCTTCAGTTCAGCTACACTCATTTTATGGGTATATTGTTTCTTGACCGTCCAACAGTCTAGCCCATAAAGCAAAGCTAGTCTCACAGCCGTCCTAACTTTCCCTTTAGTTTCATTGGCATGCAACGATCACATAAAACTCCGGTTGCACACACCCAGCTCTCTATGTGTGATATCTTTTTCAATCTCTCTAATTTCCTGGATTATCGATTGAAGATATCGAAAGTGCACCTTTTTTGGTATTTCTTATCCGTCAATATTAACTATTTCCTCGTCTCTAATCCTATCATTGCTAAACTTTGCACTCTTAGTTTGGCTAATTTTAAAACCAGTAGATTCTAGAGCATCTCTCCAAAGTTTCAACTTTATTTTGATGCCGTTTCGGGTCTCATCGATCAAAATTATGTCGTTTGTGAACATACACCACGGTACCTCGTCTTGTAGGTGCCTAGTTAAGTCGTCCATAACTAAAACAAAGAACTATGGGCTCAATGCTGACCCTCGACGTAGACCTATTGTCACTGAATCGTTTGTCTCTTTACTAGTTGTTCACACAGTAGTTAGCGTTCCATTGTACATATCTCTCACCAAGTCTGTATAGTGTTTGGAGACTCCTTTCTTTTCTAACACCTACCAAATCAAATCCTGAGGTACTCTATCATAAGCTTTCTCTAAATCAATAAAGACCATGTGGAGTTCTTTTCCCTTTGCCCTAAACTTCTCAATCAATTGCCTTAATAGGAAAATAGATATGTCCAAATAACCCCAGCTTTCCCTCTAAAAAAGCTAAAACTCTTAATCAAATAAGTGAATTAAATTAGCCCATAGAAGGCCATGGTGCCCTCATCATTTGCCCTCGGGGAAAAACTTGACCTTGTTGAGGACACCTTGATGTAATGCTGATCATTCCACGAACAATCAATTAGGATCTTTCCAACAAGTATCTTCTATATGAAGCACTTTTGTATCAACAATACGAACATCCACCACATCCTCTATCCCATTGATTCAAAAAGCGGTCCGCTTAGCGCTTAGGCAGCCGCTTAGGCGGGATGGGGGGCTTGGGCGGACCAACTAGATGAGTTGTCCCTAGGTGCCCACCGAGGGACCCTAGGCGCTCGCCTAGTACCCCCCAGTGGGTTTATGTGATTGAACTGAGGCAAGTTAAGCAAGTTTATGTGGACTGAGCATATGTATCATGATTATTCATCAACATACAATGACCCTTTTACGTGCTTAGCAACTGATTGCAAATCACCAATTTCAATGCCTAATTGCTCTATTTTGATTAAGAAGACTGCGGCTTATTGCAAGTTGATCCTACTTTAACCTTGAGGACGAGTTTTCTGATTTTCTCCAACCTAGGGAGCATGATGCAGGAGCAACTGAATTACATTTTAATTTTTTTATTTAATTTTATTGTTGTATTGTTTTTTTTTTTTGGGTTTTTTATATGGTTATGGGTTAATTGGGGATTTAAAACATAGCGGAAGTAAGGTGGATTTTTTATTTATTGTTGGAGGCACTTTAAGAAAATACAGAAGGTCATTTTTTGATGGATATAGTTTTGGTGAGTCAGCCGACACACCTATTGTTGTGCAGTCCCTCATGCATTGACCGACTATCTCTAACATGGACACCAAAAAATGGTACATCCTCAAAAAGTTAAAATGGATGGTGGAAAAAACAACATAAAAGATACTATTTATATTTTTCAAGAAAAAAATTCGAGATACACAAGCATCATCATGGTTGAGATGAGCAAATCCTAATATTTTGGGTCAAAATTCCATTGTTGAGATGATTTTAGAGTGAGACTGCACAAGAATAGGTAAGGCGGCCGACTCACCAAATACTTTTCCTTATCTAATTGTCAAATGGTAGTTTGTTATTTACACTTGTTTTTGGTTTTCATCAAATTGGCTGATTATGTAGAGTTCCTAGTTTCGTGGGAATTGGGAAGAGAATACATTGGATAGAGGGAGAATGAGAATATTTCCTAAATTTGTGGTTCTATAGAGAGATGAGGAATAGATTGGGTTTCAGGTTTCAGATTTCTTTGGCTAGATGTAATTCATGCTTGGATAGGAAGGGGATAATTTTTTAACTTTTATGTTATTTGTTATTTTTGTATAAAAGAGATGTAGATGGCTTCATGTGGGAGAACTACAAAAAAACTTTCGGACTTTAATTGAGAAGAAAAAGAATGAGCATGCTTCCTTGGAGAAGGTTTGCATAGTTGATTGGTTCTCTCTTGCTTCCTACTTGTCCTGTGCTTGATTTGGGGACTGAAATCTTATTTGTTGAACTCTCTTTTCTCTGACTTTGTTGTGTAACAAGAGGGAAGTTTCTAAAGCCTCAAACACTGGTGTCATGTTCTTGATGTGCAAACATGTGCCAAAAACATGTTTGCCCATCAATGTTTTAAAATGCTGGATGCGCCCAAAAGCATTGGGGGGGCTGATGGGGCTCGATGCGGTCCGGATATGAGTGCATCGTTGCGACTTGGTCAATAATTATAAAAAATTCTAAAAAATCTAAAAAAATAGGTCAATGCATAGAAAAATATGGAGGCGATATATGTGATATTAGGTATTTAGTTTGTTCATTAACTCCAAAAGTATTAGCTGTCGAAAATTTTGTATCCGCTATTCCCTGATAAAAGCTAGAAACTTGAAACTAGCTTCATAAAACATGCAACAATTAACTACCATAAGCACAATTCTGCAACCACAAAATTTAAAGTTACAAAATACTGCAAACTAAAAGTTACTTGAAGCAAGTATCGATTCATCATGGCCCTTGAAACCTTCAATTTGTTGTCACAAGTTCGCCTAAACTTCCTCAAATCAATACCCAAAAGATACAAATCAACAACCAAGTATCAACAAATGCACAAAGCGAAGATCATCATCAAATAAAATTTCCGCCCAAATTTTTTTTTGATTCAATCGATCCAATAAAATCCACAGATGTGGCCAAAAAATGATGTTTGGGGGGCTTAATACCCCCCATTTTCCAAGGTCGGCATGACCTTATTACCCATGCTCGAGGGGTTCAGTTTCTAAAAAAATGCTAAACAGATTATGCAGCCTGATGTGCTTGATGCAGGATGCGGCGCATATGCGTGTGCATCTCTCCAAACTGCATATGCGAGCATGTGCGATGTGTTGGGTAGCACATAGCGCCTGATGTGGCCGAATAAGCGGCGATGCGACTGCATTTTAAGACCCATTTACACAAAGTAAGGCAAATCCATCATACTATTAAAATCTTATAAAGCAATTTGCAAAATAATCATGTGTCGAACATTAACACAGTGATTTGGGTAACAATATTTCCATGATATCTGGGGGGATGAAAATGCAAAGCAAATAGTTAAAGAGAAGGTAGGATTTATCCTATTCTTTTAGTTTAGAGGTTCCTTATCATACACTTGATTTCTTTACTATGTTTCCCTTTATTTTGTTATCTTTACTTCTTTGCCATTCCCCCCCCTCCTTTTGTCTTTCCCCATGCATCTCTATTCATCTCCATCTAGATGGAACTTGTCGGACATATCCTCCTTTCTCATAACTGGTATGTTACTTTTTAACAAAAAGATTAGTCGATCTTCAAGGCCAGACTTGAAATTAATTAGGGCTCCTTTTGCTTAAAATATATGTTGTTTGTGTGTGTTTGTGTGATATATATATATATATATATATATATATATAGATAGATAGTATAGTATAGAGTAGAGAGAGAGAGAGAGAGAGAGAGAGAGAGAGAGAGAGAGAGAGAGAGAGAGAGAGAGAGAGAGAGAGAGAGAGAGAGAGAGAGAGAGAGAGTAGTAGTAGTAGTAGTAGTAGTAGTAGTACGTAGTAGTAGTACGTAGTAGTAGTAGTAGTAGT